TTTAAAAGTGACTCTCAGCGGTTCTACCTTACTATATTTTTATCATGGTTTAGAGTACAACTCCACAACAAGCTTTTCAAGCGCTTAGCGCTTTTCGGGCTTTCAGCAATAGTTGAATTGTGTAGCAGAGAGTCTGAAAAGCGTCAAACGCCTGAAAAGCTTGTTGTGGAGTTGTACTCGTGATACAAAAAAGAAGGTAGTTTCATTGTCACTTTTCGGGCGCCATATTAACTACCTGACAATTAAGCAGATTGTGACATTTCGTGCTGCCATACCTAATCCTCAATAATCATTTATTTATTGTAAAAAGGGTATTTACAAAATTAAAAGGAAATTAGTCTTCGATCTGAGCAATAAAGAGAATTGAAATTCATACATCACCATATTTGAAAAAACAACCAACTAACTTTTTCTTTGAAATAAAAGATCGGTAAATATGTTGTCCATCGGAAAAATTAGCTATTATTAAATTTGTTTATTCTAAAGCCTTTAAGGCTTTAATTTCGATGCATCATGCTATGATAGATGTTATTGTTATGGACGATAGGAGGTACTGCCGGTTGAACTGACACCCAGAGTTAGGAAGTAAGTAGTTAGAGGGTTGCCCAATGCCTTAAGTACAGTTCCCCAGAGAAAAGTCCAAGAGAGTCAGTTTTGGGGCCAGAATTGAAGATTCGATTATGTGTGATTCCGGGCTCAGTTTCAGCCTCAGGGAACTAAACATTATAGAATCTCTTCAACAAAGGTAAAGGTGGCGTACTATCCTGTGGCATTGAAAATACACGAGTGCTCAGATTCCTGCCGCTAGCAATTTCCGCCTTGCCCCACTCAGTGTTATAGCATAATCCGTTTCTTTTTGGTCTGCAGGTGGCCTTTAAAGCTTCCCCACGTATGAAGACACAAAGTGACGGTAAGTGCAGCAGTGCATCAAGAGCAGCGCCACGTGTTGTAGAGAAAGCTTCCGTACAGCACACGGCAGTAGTTCTTTGAAGTTTAGCAAGCAGACTTCCCACGCTCTTGATTGAGAATCTGCTCCATATGAATATGGTGACACACCCCACGATTTGCCAAAGACCTGCCTGCATTGCCAAAATGCTGCCAAATATTTAGAGGTTTTGTGTTCCACGCTAGATATACACGACAGTTTTGTATCTTGAATTACTTCTAGATACTTCACCTCGGCAGAATTCTGAATTGTGACTCCTTTAATGTGAGGCAATGAGACCATACAACCTTCTCCGAAGCCTGTTCCGGACTATGCTTTTATGACGAAATATCTATCAATACATCTTCTTCGGACTATTAAAAAAAAAGAGTTTTATTTTGTAAATTTATTTTTTTTGTTTAAAACGAAATGAAACAAGTAAGAAAGTCTAAGTTCGGGCGGAGCCGAAGATTAAATACC